TAGAGGAATAAAAACTCGATTCAATCATAGAATTGTTTGTTTTTTTTTTTAAATATTTATATTTAATCGGGCTAATAAAATGTTGTTGAGGAAAGTAAATAATCTTAAATGAAAATGTTTTCATAGAATATAAACAAACTGTTTTTTTTTCATTGATTCTCGATATCTATAAAAATGTTTGAATTATATACAAGATAAAATGAAATGAAAACAATATTGTTTAGTAATGTCATCATTCTTCTATCAAGTCATGTCAAAATAATAAAAACATTTGACATTCTATTTAAATACAGTAAACAAGGCAAAACTATCAAAAATAACATAATCAATCTATATAGAACAGACATAACAGTAACATTCTTTTAAACAATGAAAAACAATTGAAATTACTATGTAGATTAATAAAGAATTTGACCTATTATTATACGACGTTTCAAAACATTTTGAAACTGAATGAACTAAAATATATAAAATAAGTTCATTTAGAATTAAGACAAGACTCATCATTCATATATAACGACAGCTTTCAATCAAAACTGTGCCTTCGTATTAAACAAAATCGCTTTTCGTGATTGGCCGATTCTTTACTTATGTAAATTTTTTTAACACTCATGAAATTCAATTTGCAGACAAATAAATCTATTTTTAGTTCTTTTTGAAAGTCTATATTTCTAAATTAATATTTTAAACATGAAAAAAAGTACTTGTTGATAGTAGATATGACAGACTCGAATAACATTAATATCAGAAAGGATTTATGAATTTTAAAATCCAAAAATCAGTAAATTCCCTGTTCAAAGTCTCGATTATAATTTCAAACAAAACGTTTATATTTCAGACATTTCCATTACGTCCATTGTCTGAACATTCTCCATGTGATCATATTATAGATTGACCTCAATTAAGTATAACACAAGATAATACAACAGTTCGATTAACTTGGAATTTACCTTCAACACCAATAGAATATATAGAAAATTATAAAATTTATGCATATAAACAAAATGGAAGTTTAACAAAATCTGATTGGAAAAAAGTATGAATATTATTCTAAATATAATAATAATTTTATTGTTTATTTTTTTAGATTAGTATAGTTAAATAAATGCGTTTATCTATGACAGTAACTCTTAAACAATTTCAATAAAATATTCATTATGGATTTGATGTTCGTGCAATATCAACTAATAATAATATTAGTCTTTTTTGTGAATAAAAAACAATATTTACATAAAATACATCTATTCAATCACTTAATACAAATAAAATACTTAGTCTATCAATATAATGAATTAAACTCTATTTGATGAGTATCTAAATTATGTATAATATTATGTTAATGATATATTCTTATTTCTTATTAATTTTGTTTTATTCTCTTGTATTTTATATGCATAAATATTTATTATATGAGAAAATAATGATATAACACTTTCTTTTGCTTTTTTGACAATTGTCTAATGTTTTTCATTAAGAAATTGATTGAATTAGTAAAAAAACAAAACTTTCATTTGTTTATACTAAAT